TATCATTTTAAAGGCAACATTTAAAGCGTCATTGAGGGACTGTGATCTTGTATTTTTTATTGTATTGCTAAGACGTTTCACATGCATAACATGACCATTTTTTAGGCAACAAGTGAAGTTAACCCTAGGGGTGAAAGTGTTAATAGTGTGTTTGATTTGCATGCATTTAATCTTTGATTAGGATTGTCTACTTGTTGATTTTATCTTCCCATAAAAATCCTACTTTACTAGCATTTATATGAAAGCGATAAATTGCGGAAAGTAAATATTATATGCTATTGCAATCATTAGGGGGATGGGGTGTAAAACTTTACAAATGGGGATTGCAAGAAATTAAATTCCTAATTATCTATTACAACCATATTGAAATAATGTACAAGAAATGTTAAATGGATTTGTTTTGTTTTGGTTAAGAGAAAGAAAGAAATTGGCTTAAGAAAATATTTTTAGTCTTTTGATTTTAAAAGAAATAAAGTGTATGAATATAAAAATATTTTTGGTGTTTTGATTAATGAAAATAAAAGTGATGATAAAAATAATAAAGAAAAAGACTCAGAATCAACACATTGCTGGAATAAGAGAGAACATAAGTTCTGACTCTGGTGCGCTGCAAATCAGAAATAACATGTTAGCAGAAATGGGGAAGGTCAGAAGTTATGGATCCGGGTACACTAAAGTTCTAGGGTTGCTGGGAACAAGGGAAATCCTAGAAGTTCTGATGCAACTGGAAGCCTATAAGTTCTAATTTTACTGGAAGGCCAGAAGTTCTGGTTGTTTGAGAGAGCCTAGAAGTTCTGATGCAACTGGAGACGTAGAAGTTCTGATAGTGGGCAAGTGAAGTGTCAAAGCTGTTGGATGGGAATGTCTAGAAGTTCTGACCCAAGATCACTGTTTTGATGAACAAACAAAAGGAGTTGATCATGAAGTTCTGGTCCAACTAATGGGGTAAAAAATGTTAGGAAACAATCATAAAAAAGGTGTTTTTGGGGATAGAACTCAGGACCCTTAACACTAATGTTTTATACATGAGCTCTCTAACTGGGGTGGCTATACATCCATTATTAGAAGCAAATACATAAACATATATTACAAAGCAAGCTCTGATGATGAGTTTCATCTCCTTCTCCATGCTAATCAAAACATCTGCAGCTTAGCTATTTCTCAACAACAGAAAATGTACACATAGCAGTTATGACAGATTTCATCATGGTTTCAGAAATATAAAGCATTAGAACTGTAAATCAGAAGCAAGCATGAATTTTGATAATCCTAATTCTGAGTGCTATTTTCTTCAAGAAGTTCTGAACTGAAGTTCTCTCTACTTAGGCAAAAATACATGAATCTATGAATATGTACAGAATCATAGTCAAGATGTCTACATTGTATTTTTGAACATACAAGCCTATCAACGTCTAAATCATGAGATACAAGTCAGAAGAACTTACCTTGCAGTTGGAAATTGTTCTGTGAACTAAAGTCTGGTTTTGACTGTTGTGATGTTCTGGTCAGCTTCTCTCAATTCTCAGAAAGCTGGAACAACCCTTAACTTGAACTATGAATGGCTGGAGCGTTCTCGATTAGCCAAGAAACAATGTTCTTATTTTTGAGATGGAGATTGATGAAGAACGTGTTAAAGTCTGAAAACAAAAGTTGGGATAGCTTCTAAATGTGTACCAGAAGCTGTATGGCTGATTTGATCAAGAAACACGCGAGAAAAAATAGAGTTTGGATGCAAAAAATAGAAACTGGTAGGTTTTTGTAATTGTGTTTACAGTTCCAAGTTCTTTGAAATTTCAGCAAAGTTTCAAGACTTTTTCTCAAACTCTCGACATCTTTAATAGTTGCAAATGAAGTTCAATTTATAGGCAAGTATTTAGGAGCTTGGAGGAGCCAAGAGTACAACCATCATATGCTATGGCGCTGACTTGTTCTTGAAGCAAGTTTAAACAAGTATGGTTCAATGCACAAAGTAGGGTGGTTAGCAGCTTTTATCCGTGCTAAGCTGGATTTGTAAGCATGAATTAAGGAAAAGTACCCTCAGAAGCAAAATTAAAGCATGGGCCCAGCATAAACTTGTCACACGTGGGGAAATCCTTTGGATAAAGACTCAAAAGTGGGTGTGAGCATTAAATGATGATGAGATTTATCGAACAAAAATCTACAATATGAGATTATGTATCATAGCTTAGTCTGGATCAGCAGTTCAGCATCAGTGCAACTTAGAACAAATATCCAATCTTCTGATCTTTAAATCTCCCGGTTCCAGCATGTTCTGTAAGAGTTCTCAGACTTTTCAGAAAGCTTGTAACATGCTCTACAGATCCTCTTTGAATTCCTCTTGGAAATTCTGATTGAACCTTCGTGAAAACTGGCCCAGAAGTTGTAACCAAATTTTGTCTTGGAAATACCCAGAATTTACTGAATGCTTCTAGAATGGACGTGCTTTCAAAGATATATAACTTGAAATCCTAACGCTTCTAGAAGAAGTTTTGTTCTGCAATGTTGTAGATCTCATTGATATCTATAACTCTTATGATAGAAGTTCTTCCAGAATCAACTTTCATCATGGTGAAAATCTTGCCAGAAGTTCTTAACTTATCACATTTCTTAACACTTAGATAAATTTCTAAGTGTTTAGAATTTTGACTTTTCCAAAGCAAATTTGACTTTTGATTTTCTTAATAGAACAAACTTTATATTCTAACATGCCTTGATGAGATATGATTCTTGAAACTTGATTTTGATCCAATAGTCAAAGTTTGACTTTTCAGTGTGCAATTGACCATTTTGCCCCTGTGCCAATTCCAAACCTAAATTGATGTATCAATGCTGCAAACTTGATGTCATGGAAGATCTTGTGAGAAAATATTTGAGAAATGCAAGGGAAAATTTTGGGGTACAACACATAGAATCTACATGAAATTATTAGGAAAATGAAAAAATGATGGACCTGGGATTCAAACTCATGTCCTCTCCCTTCACACAAACGCGCCTTTCCAGCTGAGCTACCATATCATTCGTTATATAAAATCAAACAATAATATAATATATAAAAAAACATCAATGTCTAAAAATTAAATAAAAAAACATGCACGCTGGTTTGAATGATCCAATGGGATATTGACAACGCACATGTTGCACCCCAAAATTTGCCCTCCTAATTTCTTTTATTTTGGCTTAGACTTTTTGCATTCATCCGCATCTATTTAATTAGGTCACTAACATGGCATACATTTCATTCAATATAGCTCTGAGGTTCAAAGTTCAGTGGTTGTGCGATATTAGGGTTTCACAGTGGTTAAGGCGCTCGTATTCAATAAAGAATGATTTCTTATTCAGGCAACGAGTTGTGGAATTAGGGTCTTGATTCATTCTCTTTTTTTTTATACTTCCTTTCCCTCAAGCAGCGAGGCTATTATTTTCTGATAAAAACGCATGCTTAATGACTTTTTGCATTCATCCACTCTTCAATTAACCAATTCAGGCTTTGTTGAATCATGATTCAAGAATCATTGATTGTGAAGCTCGGGTTTTCTTTTGGTTCGAGGTGTTTATCAAACAAGACTGATTCTTCTGGAACATTGAACTGTGAGTTTAGGGTTATGATTAATGGTTGTTGGGGATTTCTTCTTTATCAAGCTACGAGGTCGTCACTGGGCACCTAATACAAACGGGTTAAGGTTTCGCATTTTGTGTGTGAGTTTGTTGATGTTCACTAATGAGGAATGATTAGAGGATATCCTTCTAAGCTTCAAATTTTATCTTCTTCAAGGATCCCACAAAGATTTTTTTTGACAAGATAAAGAACTTGTGGGGTTGAATTTAAAAGTACGAGGTCATGACATAAGGAATGGTACCATAGATTCACATTTATCAAGGCCATTTTTGTTCTCATCATTGTTAGTTTTTGCTCACAATACAAGTCAAGGTGGATTAGTAGTTTTAAGGATATCTTGGTTATACTTCTTCCATATTTCCATCTTCGTTATTAGTTCCTCAAAATATTATATTTGTGTGAGAATGAGCTTCAGTTTTGTTCAATAATTTGATTCAAGCAGAATTGGAAGATTCCAGCGAGACTTCGTGGATGAAAACCAAGTTAACTCTTGTGGACTAAATTATTCCATATTTCGTGATTTAGAGGTTATTTGAAAATTATTGGATATACTTGACATCTAAAGATATTTTAAGATATGAGAAAGCATTTGAGAATTTCATCGGTAGATTATGTTTGCATTGGAATGAAGATTTTAGATTTCATGAACTTGGAATTGCCAGTGCCATGCCGTTGCTGCTCGACCCTATTGTGTATTCTGCAACAAAGATGTTCCAGGCACATGTAATTTCATTAGTTTCTGAAGTCATTGATTCTGGCTTATCTTCGGGGAATTTGACTCTAGATATAAGCTACTACTTAGCGGCATTTCAAAAATCTGTCAGCTTGTACTCTAAGCATGTGTCTAGCTTGCAAATGGATAGTTGTTGCATCGAATTGAGTTGTGCCTATAATAGAACCATGTTTGAGAGAGGTCTTCCAATTTTTGAATCTTATATTCAGGAAGTAACACACACCAAATTAAATCAAGTCTTATCAAAATCAAATAGTTCATTGGACTCTTACGGTTGCAAAATGTCATCTAAAACAAAATCTGACTTTTTGACTGAGTACATAGAATATATGAAAGGGAGACAATACATATTTGTTGATTCATGCCGGGGTGAGGCTGCCTCAACCTTAGATTACATAATCCATCAAGCTTTTTCTCAAGATGTTGCTGGAGATTTATTGTATTTAAAAACACTAGTGCTGAAGATATTTATCTTCTTGCATCCATATTGAACTTAATGAGTGTTTCACTGCTACAAGCAATTAAATGTCTAAGTAAGAGTGGTGATTCAGGTTGTCTGAAAACCACGGGAAGTTCCTCTGTGCATGATGAATATGATTTCTTGAACAACATCATCCAACACGAAACATTACTGGCATAAAGAGAAATGTGATGTCAAGTAGCTGGAAAAATTCTGAGGAAGAGGAGTACATGTGGGACGAGATGCACACTGGATTGACTAGTCATGGTGTCCGTACCAACTTGGGCAACGATGCTTGGACTGCTGATGATAAGAATTTGAACGCTGAAGATAACCACCACCAAATCAGAAATGTTTTTAGGACAAATGTTGATAGAGAAATGACCAATAAATCTCAAGCCACTCAAAAGAAACAATTTCGGCATCATCCATCATTATCGTGGAAATTACAGGACCAGCAATCAATTGATGAATTGGATAAGGAACTGGGTCAATCAGATGGATGCATCCCAATGTCTGGTTCCTTACTAGGCAATGAAAACTCTTCTGTAGTCAGGATGGGGAATCGTGCTTTCCTGCCCAATGCAAGAATTGGGGGACAGCAATTTCATTCTGTAGGATCTGAATCCACTTCTGGATAGTCACCTTTGCGACAACGCTCTCCCTCGCCACCAAGTATTGACCACACTTGTCTAATGGAAAATTTTGATAAACAAGACCATCCTCGCACTCGTAAAACATCTCATTTTTGGGAGGTATGCAAAGCCAATATATTGGAGATTCTTCACCCACCCTTTCTCCTAATATTCAGGTTGGAGACCTGCCAAGATCATCACAGGTAAAAGACTTACGGGGTCCATTACCTTCAGCGAGTTTTCAGTCAAGGTATCAACAACAAGCACCAATGACTCAACAGTCAATATTACCTCCACGGTTCAGCCCTGCATAGAAAGATTAAAAAGCAAAAATCAATAACAGTTAACAGTTCAGTTCTAAGAATTTGTAATAAAACAAAATTCCTCTTAAACTAACTTCTACTAACTGCAAATAGAATTAACAGGATTTTCTAACTGTCCTAACAAACTCCTAACAAACTCCTAACAAACTCTAAACAGTTTCTAACCAAATCCCATCTTCTAAACAATATAGCAGAAAATCTATATAACAGGGAGATTATCATTCAGTTTGGGGGGCATGATTTATGATTCAACACAAAAAAAAAACTCACCTTCCAATTCTCTCTGAAAATCGCATAATCATCAATATTGCTTCATCATCTTCTGGAACTTCTTCACAGTTCTTACTCTTCTCTGCAACCACCGCAAATTACTCCTCCAATCGAATTTCATCAACTTCATCTTCATGTTCTTTAAATCTCCCCTTCACCAGAATTACTCTACTCTTCATCACCCTCTTTCATGTTCAATAAATTGGATATCACAACCTCGATGCTTCAATGATTATCAACCCTACATCACGTTTCTCACTGCAAAAACATACGCAAAGTATCAATTCCTTACATCAGTCCAGATTCAACCATCATCACCGAGTTTTCAACATTTACAACTTTGTTCAAAATTGCAAGAACAGAAGAAGAATGGGATGGAGGATGTACTTGATTTGTAACTGGATTTCTGGTCATTACAACACTGTCAAAAGCGTATCAAATGGGTCCTGGTTGATCTTTCGTGAATGCTCCCTTTAGTCTCCATTCTTTGCGGTTTCCACCCTCATCACTGAGCTTTGAGTCTCGTTTCTCTGAATTCATCATCAATCATGTTTCTCACAATAACAGCAGGTACAGAAGATAAAGAAAAATCAAGAAAAGAAGAGCAAAAAAAACAGAAAAAGAATATTCGTAACAACCTTCTCTACACTGCATTTTCCTTGCCTTTGCTTCTTCAACGACCACATCAATTTGCAAATGCGTCACAACTTCGCATCACAACTTCATACCATAATTGTGTCGTAACTACACCATACCGCAATGACTTCCTACCAATAACAACTCCTCTTTCAACAAGAACAACAATGCAAAGAGCGCATCAACACAATCGCAGAAATTCACATGGGAAGATTAATCATGAATTTACAAGACCATCTGAATCGGAAGTGTAACACCCTCTAAAACCCCGCATAAAATTTTGCAAATAATTAAAATCATATTTTCAGAGTACATGTATTAACGAGGATGTCACAATTCTCTTTTAATAAAAACAAGTTCCTGTCATGCATAACATAGAAGCAACTCATACATGTTTACACAGCGGAATATTATATTTAATAAAACCAAAGTTATAATATTTTCAATCATCAGGGATTAACACCTGGAATATATCAACATCATATTATAACCAAATACTAAGGAAATAAACGAGTCTGACTAAGCAGCTCGACAAACAAACGTTCCCAGAGTTACAACTATCAGAGCATGACCCGGACAATACTTAAACCGAAATAAACTAGAAACAGCAAGTCTTCGCCAATCATCTGAGCGAAACTCCTCAATCTGAAATGTTCAACAGTAAGGGTGAGCATCTCAACTATACATTTGATTATACGTTCATAACAATAAGTTCAGAAAACCATAAGCCTCACCCAAACAGTTAGCATGTTTCATAGTTTACGAAAACCTTTACAATTCATATATTCATAATATATCACTTTTCATACTTATAATTAACATCAAACATCATTAACAATTTAGCAGCAATACATGCATACAATCAATTCAATACAACTTTGGAAAATCATCCATTCATGTTATATTCAATATAATGCAACACACCCATGCATGTGGTACCATTTTACCGCCCCATTAAATCTCGGGTCACGGATAACTCACCGTTCCATTATATCGCGGACACAGCTACCACCTCAACGTTCCATTAAATCGCGGACACGTATATTGGCCACCATGTTAATTCCACACAATGGGAATTAACAAATGCAACATGATATGTAAAGTATGTAACACTCAGCATACTATTAACATCAATCGACATATCATGCAACATCAACAATATCAAATATAACATGATATGAATAGCATGTAATCACTCAGCATACTATTAAACATCAATCATATCAAGTTATATCATAATTCATGCTTGATAACATCATCTAAAAGCATGACAATAAAATCCACATAGTGTTGGTATCATAACATACAATCGTTATTCGATACAAGCATCAATCAACACTAGTAAAATCAATAAACAACATATTCAAAACATGTCAAACACTGCACATCAACACAGGATCAATCCATACATAACAGCATGCACAGAAAACATAGTTTAAAAACCAACACGGGAGGTTTAACACGGGTGCCCGTGTAAATCAACACTGCCCGTGTGGAAATGTGTCCAGAAAACGCATTATTTTGCCAATACAGGGGATCAACACGGGTGCCCGTGTGAATCAACACGGCCCGTGTTGATGAGCGCGATCCCAAAATTCCTGCACCTGCAGCAGCTCATATATCCATATTTTTGCACGAAAATACCTTTCTACGGCAGTGCAATGCAGTACAAAAACATCCAATCTACCATGGGGACCTAAATTCCCTAATTGGTTCATAAAATTTGGGAACCTAAACCTTTTCTAACAAGATTCGACCCTAAAGTTATCAATCATTCAGAACATCATAGAAGATGGGGTTATCCTACGAATTACCCGACCAATTGCATCTAAACCCATAAGCAAATATAATTGGAGTAGTAGCCCCCCTTACCTTATCAAATTGCAGCTTCGAACTCTTGAGCGATTGTTCGTCGTTCTTCAGAGCTCCAATCCCAAATATCTCCAAACACTTCGCTAAAATACATAACAACCAAATTCACTTATAAACATAAACATTTTCTCCAATAATCACTTATTAAAATAAGCTCTTAAAGCTACTTAATTCCTCATAATCATATAGAAAATTTCACTAGCTTTCCAACGCATCAAACGACGCCTAAATCGGAGTTATGGTTCAAAAGTTATGGCCGAAACGATTTTTGGGAAAAACCTACCCGAGCATCAACACAGAAGATCAACACGGGTGCCCGTGTGCATCAACACGGCCCATGTTGATGACTCTGCAACATCATATTTCACGTTTTTATGCTTCCCAAAATCACCCCAACTCATTCCTAATCATCCCCAAACATCCTAAAACCATCAAAATCGAATTCCTACCATATAGCAATGATCTAAGGCATACAATAGGATCAATACCACATCAAAACCCAATCAATTCCATTCATGTTTCATCATCACAACAACCATGGCATCAAGAATCCATCATCCCTACAAATCCCTAACTCATATAGAATATATATCACAACTTATTCATAGTAAAAGAATGATCAACCCCTTACCTTGGATAATCTGCAACTCCTGCAACTTCCTCGATCAATCTTCTCCTTCTTCTCCTTTCTCTTCTTTACACGTTCTCTGAGTTCCAAAATCCCAAAATCTCAGTTTTACGTGAAAGTGAGCAAAAGTGACATATAAGTCCCAAATAACATTTTACTTCACTTGCACCCCCTCTTTTACTAAATAATAATCCTTTTATTTTATATTAACCCAAATAAAATAATTTTATTGGTTTCAAATAAAATAACTCTTATTAAGATGATTCCAAATAAATAGAACTGGGGTGTTACAGGAAGCGTATATACCCGAGCCTTAGCCGATATTCTCTAGTTCACTCGTCATCATCTTCGGCTTGGAAAATCGATGAAAATTCTTTGGCTGACAAAGACACGAAGGAGATAAATTTAGACGACAAGCCGGGAAGAGGAGTGACGATGAAATCTTCGAAGTGGAATCCATCAATTGCAAAGACGATGATGTATGATGGCAGTACGCCATTCGTGAGAAGAATTTCGTTGTTGTGATCGAAGGAGATTCGAGATGGGGGTTCAGAGTGGAATCGTAGCAAGTGAAGAATGGCGGTCGTTGGAGATGAAATGATAAAGCCGCGGTGGATGGATTCATGAAAGAGGAAGTAGAAGTTGGACCGTCTCAATTGTTGAACCCCATCCTTTGGCCCAAACGGCAGCGTATTCGTTCCTCTCTCTCAAATCTACTGTTAATTTATTCCTAATAATTTTGTTTTGTAAATCAATTAACAATATGCTGGTCAATGGAGGTTTGTGGACGTGTCAATTGTACTACCACTTTGAATGGGCATGGACCGAAAATGCTGGGCCCATAGCAATTTTTTTGAGAATGTCTTGTAGCTTGCTCCAAAAATGCTTAATGGACCTCATTCTGGTTGGATCTAGCACCCCAATATTAATCAGACACCCTGATTTCAATATTACGCCCCTTGTCCTCATAATCTTTAAGACTTTATTTTTACATATGATTTTGTCTATTTATTTTTATGATAAAATTCTAAAATCCATAAAAACTTGTTAGTTTTTTGATTTAGGAATTCATTCTTGTTTGTTTGTTAGAATTTTCTCTATAAAAAATAATAATAATAATAATAAAAGTAGTAGTATATAATAGAATTTTTTCTAGAATTTCTTTTTAGAATTTTAATTAGAATTTTCTATTAGCGTTTATGTTTAGTAACCATTTTAGTTTTCATCTTTAGCTAAGATTTTGTGATAGAGTATTGATGCAACTTTTGCAATATGGAATGCTTGGAGATTAATTCTATGATCACTTATGCGGAGCAGCTTTCGGTAGAGTCTCTTTATCACTTGTGTGGCTTTGAAGAGGCAACGGACCTTTTCCATTCGGTATCGTCACAACCCTATTTTACTCCCCATTTTGCACTTTAATGCATTTTTATACTGCTTGCTAATATTAGATAGAATTCCCTCGAGAAACCGAATCTTAGGTCTAATACACAATAACATTAGGTTTAGAAATAGGCTAGTCCCCCTTTGACTTTTCTTTCTCTTTTCGCATACGCATCTAAAACAAAAAAAAAACTTCTTTCTCTTTCAAAATTCAAAACACTTTAAATTTACTGACTAGAATCATATCTTCGTTAAGTATGTGAGATGATAAGCGGGTTTCTTCTCGACATTATTATTCTCTTGTTCTAAGCTTTGGTATGATTCAAGTCTCAAAGAATCATTTCATGAATAAGTAGAGACATGGATAAAATCTCTCTCTTGAGATTAACTAGCTATTATCTACAAGCAAAAATACCAACCAATACAAATTCTTTATGCCTTCGGGCCTTCCTTTCAAACTCTTTTTCAAAAGAGCGTGTTAATTCACTTCTGTGCTGACGTGTAAATCTCCAAATGTCGAGTTGTGGCAGAAGGCGAAATTAATATCATTCATTATAAAAACAAACAAAATTCAAACTTTTGTGCGTCCAGGCACATTTCTTTCCAAACATTTCAAGAGAGCATGTTAATTCACTTCTGTGCTGACGCGTAAGTATCCAAAGGTCGAGCTGCGGCAGAAGGCGAAATTAATATTGTTCATTAAAAAATATAAATCAACAAAAACATAAGCTGAACTACGGCTGCTCTGATTCCTTAAAAGGGATACGTAGGCATTGGGGTAGGGACCGAGCGAGCACAACTTTCCAATTTCCCTACATTCTTTTCTCTTTTATTTTTGCATGCATTTCCTGTACAGTTTAGATATAGATTAAACACACCCATAAGATAGACAACAACAGTGGATACCGTAGAGTACTACGGGCGTGTGGGGTGCTAATACCTTCCCCTCGCGTAACAGACTCCCTTACCCGATCTCTCGGTCGCAAGACCGTGACTTCTCCATTCTCAGGTTTTCTCGATGTTTACCTTTCCCTACATGTGGGATAAAAGACGTTCGATGGCGACTTCATTGTTTGATGATTTTCAGCCGGTTGTTTCAGCTGGCGACTTCACTGGGGATAGGTCGACCAAATGCTGGTCCATCCCGGAGTCGCTCCTAGCTCTTGTTTTCTTTTCTTTGGGTGTTTATTTTTATGCTTTCAGTTTACTCATTTGTACATGTTTGCCTGAGCATAAGTTTGCATTGCATTTTATTGCTTTCCCTATTTTTTATCTATTATGCTGGACTCTGTTCTCTATGTTGGGTGGGGATGTCACTTTTAAGGTAAAAGGCCCAATACCCAGGCCAGAGTGCAATAGGACACTAGGAAT